TGACAGTATTATAGAGTTTACTAGCAAGCAATGCCTTTGATGCAATATATGATGAAGGAGAACAGTCTAATTTTCCTCTTGCCAGCCACGTTGTAAGCAAAAACATCTTTTGTTTAGAAATCAGTGTTCTGTTTAATACCGTAATTCCACTGGCACACTTAGCTATGTATGAAGGGCACGTTTTAAGTGACTTCAGTTCTAATGCTTTGGCCCAGTGGAAGTTAGGCTGCTTATGCTTGTAACAGTTGGCTCAGGCTGAGGGGAATCTTTCCTGAAATCCCTTGGAATTGATAAGCAGAGCTTCTTATTCCACTGATACTCCCAAATTTCCTCTTCTTTTTGCTTCTTCTCCTTCAGTTCCAAAACTATAAGCATCTCCCTTGACAGCTACTTTGTATTCCTCTTCCAGTCTAACAGCAAGGCAACTACTAAAAATTTTGGTGTACAAAGGAAGCAGCCACTAGAGGTCTTTACCAATCCCTTTTACCAAAAAACTTGGAATATACGATAGTACAGAAATCTGAAGTTCCAGGGTATATTTGGGACTGTTTATGGCACTGGATATGTGGGATATGATTTTGACATGATTTATGAACAGAATATTTTTCTGATATATTCAAGAGTTGTAAGAATTAAGGCTCATATCAAGCTGAGTGAAAGAGAGATTACTGTGTCACAATGTCATCTACGCCAGTCAAATTGTTTGTGCTGTTCGATGGAGTTGGTGGTGCTGAGACTGCAGAAGCAACTCTTTCATAGTGCTTCTATACTTTTGCTTTTTAGTAGCACGAGATTCCCAATAGCTGTACTGACTTCCTCAGAAAATAGATGCTGTTGCAGGAATTCATTACATATTTTTTCCAGAAAAGATAATCTCTAGGATAGGGAAACACTGTCCATGAGTTTGTATATACAGTCTTAATCCAAAAGGTCCTGATCTAGATTTTTAGGTAACATTCAATACAAATGTTAGAAAATAATCTATGGATTATAACAGAACATACAGATACAAAAAAAAGCAAAAATATAAAATACCTTGAAAGGAGAAATGTTATGCTAGAATAGCCAAATTTCCTAGGCAAATTTAAGCAGCGATAAAATTAATTTTGAACGGTAGATGAGACCTTTTGGCCCCCTGAAGAAGCTAACAGACTGTATTGACACTGATAACTGCACAACAACCAACATGTTGAATGAAGGTCTTCATCCCATTTGTAAGCAGCGGTAAAGATCGTGTCATGCAGCTGGTAATAGCCATTATCTATTTCGTCATGTATTTTAAGCTGGAAGAGGACGCAGCCTCTCACTGACTCTTGCTAGCAGTGACAGCAGTTAACCAAATCTCTTCAGGAAAGAGAAAACGTGTGAAGTTTAAGCATCTATCAGGCTCACCTGAAGCGCCTGGGAGATGGCTTTCTACACACAGTTTTGCTTAGCTCTTCATATACAAGTTTTTTTTAATTATTATTTTTCAGTGGCAGAGAAATAAGAAGGCGCCGGGCAGGGCGGGCGCCGCCAGCCCGCTCCCGTGAGGGGAGGCCGCGCCCCGCC